GAAAAAATTGGTAAGCTGAGGGGGGGTCATGCGATTTTTAAATGGTGCTTCCCAAATCCCACCAGCCCCCCCTCCCTCATAAAAAATGAACGGTCCCTTCGTCACGTTCAAATTACCTTTAAATTGAAAGAAACCTTAAAGTAATAGTTCATTAAAATAGAAAAACACCAAAGAGCTAACAATAAACCATAAAGGAACAAGGATGGTTCAGGATGGAGAAGATTGACACGGATTACAAACGACGAACTTGAAAAATTTAGGCTAAAATGTTCAAGATGCACAAACCGTGACGTAGTTCCTTTAACAAAACAGCACGTTATGTTCTACGTTGAGTCTGAGAATTTAGATTGCGTACCTTTGTAAATGTTACTCTGTCGTCTTTTTCTGTATGCTCTGCCATCAGCTCTTGGACAAAATTCTCCACCAGATGAGGTTTGGCTATAGTGCAGTTCTCCTTCATGACCTGATAACATGAAGTAGTAAATGACATAAACGCTCACTATTCACTGATTGGTTTTACCATGTACATTGTAACTTTCCTAGTTGACGAAATCAGAAAACCCTTGAGGAAAACACTCAGTGCAAGAGCAAAAAGAGAAGGTAATACGGAAGGTTATTTACTGACCGGTTTTTTCCACAAGTCTGTTGGCAGAGTTGCGTCATCTCTTCCTCTCTCAGACACCACCAGTGTGTGCTCACGGGATATCCTTCTGATGACGTCATAGATCATGGTGCACTCTAAGTTCTCTAACAGTCGAATAAGCTGCAAGGGTAGTGGGAATTTTTTTTAGAGCGTAATTATAGCGTCAAACTATTAACAAGTAAATCTCTATGTTTGCAAGATTTCCTCGTAATAGAGAAAATATTAGCCAACTTCAAAAACCCGAATGTTTCAAAGAGGACGTTTTCGGTACAATCTCTTCCGAGGATTGAGCCCCCAATTGCTGTCAGCGTAGTTGCTAAGTTACGTGACGTACTGTTCAGGCGGGAAAGTATCGGAGCCTTTGTACCACTCCTGACCAGATCGCAAGAATCGTTTTCAACCTGTTCTCAACAAGTAACAGACGTAACAGTATCTGGACAAACCTGTTTGACTTTCAGTTCCATTTCGGTCGATCCAGGGGGAGAGGACAGAGGTTCATCGTCGTTTACAAGCGCACCAAGGGCTGCATACTCTTGGCCCTGTTGGGGGAGGGGTGGAGAAACTACTAATCCGATAATTTGTCACAAATAGGAATAAACGAAACAAACAACCAAACAAGTAAAAGGAGTGGAAGTGTTTGTACTTCAAATTGCAACAGATGATAAATGTTGCTGTCATTCTTCGAAAGATGTTATGTTATGTTATGTTATGTTTTGTTTTGTTATGTTATGTTTTGTTATGTTATGTTATGTTTTGTTTTGTTATGTTATGCTATGTTATGTTATGTTATGTTATGT